GGAGACGGGCGAGCCCCCGGGGGCCCTGGGTCGCTCGCACCCCTAAAGCGGGGCTGCCTTTCACGGTGACGTCAGAGCGGCCCTTCCCCTTCGGGCGCTTGTTCGTCCCGGGAAAGTGGCTCCGGCGACGAGCGGCCTCCAGCACCGGGCCGAGGGCCCCGCGGACGAGGGCGCGGTGTCGGTTGGACGTCCCGGGTCAGGGACAGCCCTGGGGACCCGGCCGCAGGAGCCCCGGCCGCAGGAGCCCCTTCATGAGTGGGCACGTTCGCATTCTCCTGGGCCTGCTGCTTACGAATGTGCCACGGGGGGCGGGCGCGTCTGTCCCTGAGCTCTGCCCTCCCTGCCGGAGGGGCCGCGGGCCGAGCGAGGGGCCGCGCAGCCCTCGGGGGGCGCCGTTGGCGGGAGCCCGCGAGATGCGTAAAGAGCAACTTTGAGGCCACGGGAGATACAAAGGACCTGGGCGTCTTTGGGAGGGAATTTTTACTGTATATGTAATCTTTCGTATATTTTATATCATTAAAATTTTGAGCCAGGTGAACATATTTTTTAAAATACAGTTGAAAATAAAAATGAATCCAGCCCACCCTGGCGGGTGTGGCTGTTGGCTGAGCGCTGTCCTGTGCACGAAGGGTCGCCAGCTCAGTTCCCAGGCCGGGCACATGCCCAGGTTGCAGGTTTGAGGGACGGAAGGCAACCGATGGATGTTTCTCTTTCACATTGATGTTTCTCTCCCTCTCCCTCTAAAATCAATAAAACGTTTCCAAAAAGAAAGAAGTAGAGAGGACCAGGAAGCCAGGGATGGGGCTCCAGGCCACTGTGGTGATGCTCTGAGTGATAAAAGGGCAAGGGCCATGGGGGTGGATGGACAAGAGAGGCTGAGAACTCAAAGCTGACCAGAGGGTGGGCCCAGATGTCCCTCAGCAGCATGGCAGGGCCACAAACCCAGGTGCCCCAACTCTGCTTACCAATTTTCTCTTCTTTGGAGGGTGTTTAACCCGTACCACTGACAGCCTTAAAAACGTCCTATGACCCCTCAAGGTCCCTGGGTGTGGTCAGGCGCCAGGAGAAGCCTAAATCCCCAGCAGCTCTGAGCTGAAGGGAACCAGGGAGATGAGCGTGCTGGGATAGAAAACAACTTCATTTCCCTCACCCAGGATGTTCTCAGAGCCAAGTGCCCGTGATCCTGTTTGCACACACTGTGCCTGATGCCCCCACGCAAGTACAGTCTGCCTCATGCAACATACACTTCAGTGTGCACGAGGCACACACGCACTCACAGACCTGTATGAGTGAACCAGCACATGTGCCAGCCTAGGAGACGCACGCACACCCATCCCTGCAGGTACACTGGAGGTGTCCAATCTGTACAGCTACTAACAGCAGCCACCATTATTGAGCATTTACTATGTGCCAATATCCTGAACACTCACATCACCCCCCCGTGAGTCTCCATTATCAGACGAAGGAATTACGACAGAGAAGGGACCTCTCCACACAGCAATCAGGAGCCTTCCCAAGCTCTGGGCTCACATGAGGCCACCACCCCCTTGTCATTTTTCATGTCATTAAATACTAATTTATAAAAACTTTTTTTTAATCCTCACGTGAGGATGTTTTTATTGATTTTAGAGAGAGAAACATCAATGTGAGAGAGAAACACTGACCCGTTGCCTCCTGTATGCACCCTGATGAATCAAACCCACAACCTAGGTATTCGCCCTGACTGGGAATTGAACC